CAAAGTGGCTTTGGATTGCTTGGCTCCCAAGCAGTCTGACAACAACCAGAGAAGGCTTGGAGCATGTCAGTATGAGAATTTCTGGTCTGAATGACAGATACATTTGTCAAATTGAATTAATAAGCTGTCATTCTGGTAGCCACCCCAGTCTCCTTTGGGTTTTACTGAGTGTGAGCCAGTGAGTTAAATCGATCTTGGTTTGTATTTATTAGGTAAATAGTAATACTAGCACCTGAGCAGGACACAGTGGCTCACGCCTGTAATCTCAGCACTTTGGGAGGCCAGGGTGGGCAGACCACTTGAGGTCAGGAGTTTGAGGGCAGCCTGGCCAACATGGTGAAACCCCGTGTCTACTAAAAATACAAAAATGAGCTGGGTGTGGTGGTAGGCACCTGTAATCCCAGCTGCTTGGGAGGCTGAGGCAGGAGAATCGCTTGAACCCAGGAGGCAGAGGTTGCAGTGAGCTGAGATCACACCACTGCAGTCCAGCCTGGGCAACAGAGACTGACCCTGCCACAAAACAAAAACAAAAACAAAAACAAACTAGAATCTAAAACAGAAACAGCCTACATCCTAGTGATTTAACAATAAAGGTATGATTCTCACTCGTGTCCTTACATTCCAGTCTTTGCAGGGTAAGTGAGGACTTGTAGTAATTCAGTGCTACCTCCTCATTGTGTCTTCTTTAAGCTTGAAATCATGTGGAAATAAAAGCAATTTTGCTTTCATGTGGAAGATAAAAGGGAATGGATATGGGAAGTGGCCCACATTGCAGACACCCTTGTGCTCCTGGACAGAATTTCGTCCTATGGTCACTTCAAGCTGAGGGAAACTGGAAAATGCGGTTGAGCCAGATGCTTGGGAAAAAGAGAACTTGGAAATTGACCATCCCAAGTGGTCTCTGCCACATAAGGACACAATAAACTAACACTCTAGATCCTTCTTTGGGCGATATCATGGCCACTTCCAGACTCTTCCTTCCTGACACTGATTGCTATACCTGAACCAAGAAGGGGTTGGTGCATGTTCATCAAATAAGTGAATAGAACTTTTGACTCTTCTCAACTATTGGGCAAGCTTTAGCCGTTACCTCTAAGTGGATGTCCTCTTGAATAACTTCCTCTGTTTTCTCTCCTCCTGAGCTCCAACCTTACATTCCCAATTCTTTCCTGGGTACCTTCACATGAGGTTCAACCACCCTTTCAATTCAATATGACAAACCTAAGCTCAGCAAGCTCTTCCTGTGCTGAGCTTTGTTTTTCTTACACAAGGCCTAAGGCAAGAGCCTTATCTAACTCCGGTTTCTATTCCTTCACGCATCTAGTACAACTTTGCATGCTAATAGTCATCTTTTGAATAAATGTTTCTGTTGTGGAATTATGTATTTAAACTACGCTAACCTTAGATTAACAGAAAAAAATGTAATTTTTCTGTTTTTCTGTAGCTTACCTAATATTCCTCACACCTACCCCTCTGTGTCTGATAATCCAATCTGTTGTAAACTGTTGCATAAAATAATTGAAAGTCTCTTTAGGTAACTCAGTCTATCTTTTTTTTGTTTTGGACATTCCATCCTCAGATGACCCTTTCCTCTGCTCTCTTCAAGAGGCATCTGTGGCTATGGCTGTACCCACTGAATCCAGGCTCAGGTAGTCTGGCCTGTAGCCCTCAGCCACAGAGTCTGCCTGTTTAATTTCACCACAGCAACATCCCTAGTAAACTTCCCCCAGCATTGTTATCTAATCTCTGCATGTCCTCCACAGGGGCCCAGAATGTCAGGACACCCAAGGAGAGTGGAGGAAAAATTGGGAGAACTAAATGTAGGCCTCCTCTGGCCTAACTGCAAAGGTCACTCTGATGGAGCCCATCAACGTTGGTGTGAGGGAAAGAGGGGCATCTGTGAGACTCTCCCCACAATCTCCAACTGGAAATGAGAAGGAACCTACTCTGCTCTCTGCTTTGCTTGTAACCAGCCACCCCTACCACCCTTCCAGGAATTCTCCTATTGAAAGGAGGGTCCACCTGTAGCACCAATCCATGCCAGCTTTCTCCTAGTTCTCCTGAAGTCCACCACGGGCCTACTTCTTCTCTCACTGTGGCCAACACTTTCCTGGCCCCATAGCTACTGCTTTTCCCAGGTGGCAGTGACTTGCCAGCTTTCCCTGGAGTGTCCAGTGAAATAACTTCTGAGTGTTATGAAATGCAAGAGAGAAAATGAAAACCATATTTGTTTTTTCAGATGGAATCTCGCTCTGTCGCCCAGACTGGAATGCCGTGGCTCAGTCTCGGCTCACTGCAAGCTCCGCCTCCCAGGTTCAAGAGATTCTCCAGCCTCAGCCTCCTGAGTAGCTGGGACTACGGTGCATACCACCACACTCAACTAATTTTTTTTTTTTTTTTTAAGACGGAGTCTTGCTCAGTCACCCAGGCTGGAGTGCAGTGGCACAATCTCGGCTCACTGCAAGCTCCGCCTCCCGGATTCACGCCATTCTCCTGCCTCAGCCTCCTGAGTACATGGAACTACAGGTGCCTGCCACCATGCCTGGCTAATTTTTTGTGTTTTTAGTAGAGACGGGGTTTCACCATGTTAGCCAGGATGGTCTCAATCTCCTGACCTTGTGATCGGCCTGCCTTGGCCTCCCAAAGGGCTGGGATTAACGCCCAGCTAATTTTTGTATTTTTGGTTGAGATGGGGTTTTGCTACGTTGGCCAGGCTGGTCTTGAACTCCTGACCTTAGGTGATCCACCAACTTTGGCCTCCCAAAGTGGTTGGATTACAGGCACGAGCCACCGTGCCTGGCTGAAAACCGTATTTAAAAATATTTTAAAATGTAATAAACATTAAGTATCAGGCACTATTCTAAGAGCTTTCCAGATATGAACTCACTTAGCCCTATGACAATCTGAGGGGGGTTCTGTAATCAGACCCATTTTACTGACAAGGAAGCTGAGGCATAGCACAGCTAAATGATTTGCCCAAGGGCACAGAATTTTGGTTCAAACTTAGGCAAGATGGTTCTAGAATCTCTATTCTTAACCACTATGCTAAGCTGCCTCTACATTTTCTTTATATTTTTAAAACATTACTCCTCCTTCAGCTGATAACTAAAAGGACATTATAATTGCCCATCATATTTTCCCACAGGCAGCAAACCAAGATGCCAAGTGAAGACTTCTCTATAGCATAGGGCAAAAATCCATGAAGCTAAATCCTGGTGTTCATGGTCTATGTTAATTTGAAAACCAAAAACCTGTAAAACGCCATGTGGGGAGCTTCAAAAGAACTGCCGTCTTGGGAATTCTTACCAGCTTTGAAGACTTCGGGGAGGTGTGGTCTGTTTTTCCTTCTCTGAATTCTCCTCCCGGCCTCTAATCCAGAGGCTGTACATGTGGGTGAATTTGCACACACACACACCCACCAATGGCAAAAGCCTCTCCGGGATCCTTCCAGGATCCTTGGAGTCAGGGCTCTACAGGGCTATTTTAAAGTGTGATGGTCCACTGAAAATGTTGTCAAACAGCAAAGTACCAACCTTTTTGAATCACTAGGTCATATTTTAGAGACGACTGTGAGTTCTACCCCTGCAGGAACGTGACTTTTTCACACTGTATTTTCTCAAACAGGAGAGAAGAGAATTCCAACCAGTGAGATGAGAATTGCATAAATCCTGCAGCCCATCTCTGCCACAGCTCAAAGTAAGCAACTTTTACTGCTGTATTCTTAAATAGTCCCAAGGATCAAATTATGTCTCTGCTAAAACATTGTTAGGCCTAACTTCCTCACCAAGAATGTGGGCTTTGGTCTGACTGCCAGGTTGAGAGGGCGTTTCTTGAAAACTTTGGTTTCTTTGTAGGCACAGTATGTGCTCATTAGATATAAAAGCTGATGTATTAACTAATTCCTTTAGCCTTTCCAAAATAGAGGTTTCATGGAACTATCTAGGCCCATAACAAATGTTTCTGTGATGAAACAAACTCAGGAAACTGTATATTTTCTTTTTTCCTTAAAGCTTCACAGAATGCATCATCTCATTAAAAGCTCCAGAAACCCTACAAAGAAGAAACCTTACCTGGTATTCCCCAAACTGAGATTTGATAGATTTCTACTGATTTGTAAGACAGACTCTTATTCTGAGAATTTCTCATGGCTCTTAAAAAGAAGTCACCTTCCCATTGTATAGACTCAGAGACACAATTTGTACTTCTTTTTCGGATTGTTGGGTAAGTAATGACCCAGGCCATTGAAGAAAATGAGGAAACTGTGCACACAAACTGATGTCTTATGTGACCAACATGCAAAGAAGAAATGGAAGCTTTCCCCTATCTTTCCAGTGTTCAAAAATCCTACTGCTGAATTCACCTCCAATTCCATGAGATGATATAGAAAACCTCCATAAAGACCCCAGGTTATAAAGTTTACAATTTATTCTGTACTCCTTTTCTCTGGCAATTGATGACTGCTATTATTAATGAAGACATTACAAGGAATAAAAGGGCTTGCCTGCCACTTCTCACCACAAAACTGTGTGGCATCAAACAGAATGAAACCCTTCTGACACTGACAGCTGGAGAAAACCTTGTCACCACAGTGAGTGTCAAGTGTGGTGTGACATCTTTGTGTGTGTTTCCTTTGCACCTAATAACTTCGTTGCCAATACAGACCAAAATAATGAAAGAAAACCTGCTTTTGCCGGCCCAAAGGATTAACTGTACTGTTGAGAAAACTGCAGGAATATTTGACATGAGATCACAATTTTTAATTCTTTTCCCCCCAGGATTCTTGTATGAAGTATTTTTCTATCAAGGATTTAAATAGAATTACTTTTCCTCACATTGGTCATGGAGAGAATTAAGACATTAACTGTTGATCCAATTTATACTGCCATTTGATCCCATAAGTGCTATACAGGACTCGGTTACTCATGGAAAATAGCTCCTGCCAGATCAAACACTCTCAGGGCCAAAGTCACAAGATTCTGACTTTACATGCTCTGTTCTGCCTCCTTTCATTTTGCCTCTTGGATTGTCATGAACTTCCCGAGCAAGGAGGCCATCCACCATGCAGCGTAATGTCTTGCTAAGAGAAATTAGTATTCAGTCTGCTCAGGTTCCAGCAAAGACTTTCTTCATGAAGATCTTCAAGTGGAATCGAGGTAGGAACTGTTATCCTTTTCAACCCTTGTCCTATTCATTCACACCTTGGAACAAAAACAGAAAGCTGAACTCTGTGGAGGGGAAAATTGATACCACATGGTTTCTGGTGTATCTGCAACTTTTGGCTCTCCTTTGGAAAAGGATGTGTGTGTCATGCACACGTGTCTATTTCATCCTCCTATCTGACAAATACCTTTGTGAATTGCTTTGTGTACTATTTGGATGTTAGTGCAGGTTACAAATTTCTAGAGGGCTGGGAGATGTCCTTAAGTCTCATAGGTCATGAACACTAGAAGTTTCAGATAAAAGGTCTCATTTTCAGATGAGTATGAGGAATACTTCATTTTCAGCCCTCTCTTTTAAGAGGCGTAAAATCCTTTAGTGCTGAAAACACTTGTACTACCGATAATGAAGAATTACGTTTAACTTTAACTCAGTGTGTTCCTAACTTGACTATGGAATTCAAAGTTCTTGTAAGATTCCACAGACCAGGTAAGACAAAGATTTGCCAACATTCAAAACCTCTGAAAAATAACCCATTACTGGGCAGCTAGGTAATCTCCCTCCTAATTTATCTGGCTCTATTTTCTTTTCTCTACCATCACCAACAGCATCTTTCTAATCTCTCACTCAGATCTTCTCATTCCTCCATTCATTAGAACACCGGTTCATTTCTTCAATAAACATGCCAAATAGGAGTGGCTCAAACAAGATGGGAAGTTTTTTCTGATGTGACAGTCTGTATATTTGCAGTCCAGCACCTGAATGGTAACAGCAAGAGGACAGAGGCTCCAGGTTCGTCTTTAGTGCCCTGCCATGTGTAGGGTGTTTCCCATCCAAATGTTCCAAGATGTCTTACCACTATGCCTGTATTCCAGGCAATGGGAAGGAGGGAAGGGGAAGGAGAGAGAATTTTCCTTCCTTGCAAGAGCATCATCTGCAAGTTGTGTTTCTGCTCACACCCCATTGACCAAAGCTTTATTGCTTGACCAGAGCTAGCTGCAAGGGAGGCTAGGAGATGTTGTTTTTGTCAATCTGGTAGCCTTTATCACACTACAATTTTTATGTTAGAGGAAAGAGAAAGAACATTTATTAGGGAATAGCTAACCATCTCTGCTACACCTATGACCTTCCATTTGGCTCTTATAATGATTTTGTGAAGTGAGAATTTTTATCCCAAGTTTTCCACTGAAAAAAGTAAAGCTCATAAAGCTGAAATAATTTTAATATTGTCGTCATGTTAAGAATGATGAAGGGTATTAAATTTTATCTGCTTCCAAGCTAACAAGGGAGCCGCCACAATTGCGTGGATTCTTACAGAAGACACAGACTCCTGACTCAGACACAGAGGACCTTATCACTCATGGCACAGGAAGCAGCAACAGCTCCAATATTCATGTTGGTTCTTCTTGTCCTCCAAATCCTGTGGGGCATTAGGAGGTGGCCAAGGTAGATGCTGCACATGCAGTCGGTTTGCACCAAGCTTAGGAAACTACAAGCTTTTAGAGAGGCTATCAGGAAACCTGCCCTACTTTTTCCTTAGGAGGAAAACTTTTTTTGGTATCCTAGTAAAGAAACAAATCTCTCTGCTCAAGAGAGGCACATTGCCTCTAAGCTCCAAGAAGTTCACCATACAAATATTCTTGGAAGGCAGTCCCAAATAAAAGTCTCTTTGTTGACAAGGCTTGCAGAAACATGAGAGACCCATGGACATTTTTTCCCCAACACACAGATAGTCTTGCTATTTTCATTACAATAAATGCACTTCTACAAGAAGTCTCCCACGTACACTCACCATGCCTCCATCAGGGCAGTTCTCACTTTTTATTGTAATTGCTTACACCTCTGGATCTCCATATTGGAATATCAGTTCCTTGAAGGCAGGGGCTATGGCTTTTGCTTTTATATCCCTAGCACCTAACACATTACTTGGAATATGGAGCATGTTCAACAACTATTTTGAAGTATATTAGAATAAGATTTACTTAAGGGATAGAACAAATCAGCAAGCATTACATGTTATTGAATCCACTTGAGATTCTCTTTGCATGGATCCTAGGGTAGGTGGCTAATTTTTATGATTCTGGCCTCAAATACACTCCCCTGACCACTGTATTTAAAATATCATTCTAGATAAGTCTAATGATAAGCACTTGTCACTACCTGATACTATTCTGCTTATTTATTTAGGTATCTGACTCCCCTTCTAGAATAGAAACTCATGACTTCAAGGACTTGCCTATCAAGTTCATGTCTATATTGCTATAATCTAAAATAGTGTCAGGCCTAAAATAGAAGTTTCGTAAGTATTTTTGAATGAATAAGTGAATGAGTAAATTCAGCAAACATTCACTAAGTTTATACCATCTGCTAGGAACAAAATGTTTTACCGTGTCACAGTGGCCCACAAAGAATATTGTTACTTTGGGCAACTGAAATAATTCCATATCTGGGTTGAGTTGAGTGGCAGCATCACTTTTGTTGGGGTAATGAGCTTCCATTCCTCACTACAGGTACTCCACTGCTGGCTTGAACTGGGTCCTGAACACTGCCCTTTCCTGGTCTTGCTGGCAAAGGCATCCTGTGCCAGCAGGCAGCTTCATTGCCTTCCTCTCCTCTCTGAGTCCCTAGGTAGCCATCCTGCTTATCAGGTGTCCACAGTTCTGGTAAGGTAGCCTCAGGGAGGCATCTGATTGGCTCTGTGGGTCCCACACCTCCAAGGACCCCATGCCCTTCATATGATGCTTAACCCTTTGTTTATCCTCATTCTCACCTGGGCAGCAGGTAGCTATCAGACCCTCTCTCACCTTTCCTTTACTCTTCTTCCACCTCTGTTTGATCTCCTGTAGCAGCCTTGCCCATAAAGTCTTTCCTGTGGCTCCACTGAGAAATTCAATTAAGTGTTCCAATAATGCTCTGAAACAAAGTGGTCCAATTCAGGTGAGGTAATTTGTCTTGCAAGGTGTATCAGTACTCATTTTATTCATTATTTACCCATTTCCAAAAATGATGTGAAGTAGGAAAATGTCAACGTTGAACAACAAAAGTAGTCAACTCCCTTTGGGGGGAAGATCATTATAATTTGTTTAAATGCTGACAAATATTGATATCAATGGTGAACATGGAGTTGGGGCATGAGGGAAATTAACAGAGGGAAATTGCTAGGATATTTTTCAAGCCATCATTGATTCAAAATGAATGAGAGTAGAGCTTTGCGTGGAAAATTAAAGGCCTAATACTAAAAATAATTATTAAGCATTTTCTCACTTTCATAGATGAAGAAATTACCTCAGAGAAGTCAAATAATTTACTCAGAGTCACAAAATAAGCAAATGACGGAATATTCAAATCCAGGTCTTCTGACTCTACCCCCATTACATTGTCTGCCTTAGAGGTTTCCGAAGTATTGGTAAGAAGGAGGCTGGAAGAGCTCGAAACAGACCATATAAAGCCAGATCTGAGTTGGAAAAGCAAAAAGGCCCGAGGAACAGCACAGACCCTGACCAGTGGGGTATCTCTGTATTTTAAATAACAAATACAACAAAGATTCAAGTTGCACATATACCCAGATGTTTCCATTATATATATATATATATATATATATATATATATGCCAATTTAAAATATTTAAATGGAAAACAATTTGTGTCCACTTTATTGTATAACTATGCTAGTTACAGGAATCATCTCAGTATCAGTTATGTATCACTCATGTCAAAGAACCAGGGTCAGAAAAAAAAATCTCCAGTAAAGATCCTTGCAACTCAGAAACACTCTTTCTTCTGGATATTGCTATGAGTTAGAGTTCAAAGAAAGCATTTTTAAAAGAAATATGATTTATTTGCTCCTCATGATAAACAATCGGAACATCACATTGTACCCCATAAATATATGCAATTATTTGGTTAACTGAAAATAAAATTTAAAAAGAAATAGAATGAACCTAAGTTAAACCCTGAGTTAAATGACTTTTTAACAAGATTCAATGGATTTAATTTAAGTTCGTGTTTGCCTATGTAATGAATAGAGTATTATTTATGATAACATCCAGAAGAACAGTTCTCAGGGGTTGGCGTCATTACAGTATGCTAATTTAAATTAATTCACCACTATTCCCTACAGTTATTCGTTAGTCTTCCCCTGAAGATTTTCTCACAGACACACACACCCACACACACCCACCCACACACACCCACACTACCTTCCAGAAATGTAAGAAATATCTTTACCCTCATCCTATCCTATCTTTAAGATGCCAACTTCTAGCTTTGCAGGTAGGAAGGATTAAAACATGAGAAAGAAAAGTAGGCCTAACTTGTCATGAAAGTAAAATATATGGTCAAAGCCCATACCAAATGATAATGCCTGTATTTTTCCAGATATGAAGTTCCTCTTTTTTGCTCTTAAATGGGTTGAGAAATTGTGATAGGTAGTTGGGTGAAAAAGCATTTGGGGCCCTGAGGTTTTCATTACAGCGTTTTTGCTACTAGAAAATACATGTCTCAATGGTGAATATTTTTTAAAAGGTACCATTTCAATTTAACTAGACCCTTAAAAATAATAGAGGCTCATCAACAGGTGGCATAAAGACAGGAACAACAAACACTGGGGCCTACTTGAGAATGAAGGATGCTCGGAGAAGGAGAGGATCAGAAAGAATAACTATTGGGTACCAGGCTTAGTACCTGGGTGAAAAAATAATCTGTATAACAAGCCCCCATGACACAAGTTTACCCATATAATAAACCTGCACATTTACCCTTGAACCTAAAATAAAAGTTAAAAACAAACAAACAAAAAAACCCTAGAGGCTCACCTGCTTCCATTCCAAGTGAAATGTCGAAATTTGTATTCTTTTCTCTCACTTTAATGAAAGTCTGGCATAAAAAATCCAGAGTCCACTCTAGCATTTTTGTCATGTGTTCTAATAATGCATTTTTCACACCAGCAAAATCATAGAAAGTGTGGGGAAATACTGTTTTAAGTGAGAGCCATCTTTCACCTGGTATAAAATCACCATGCTAGATTCTGTTTCACAGCCAAAAATTATGATTATTGCACCGTGTGTATGGGGTTAACCTTGATTATTCTTATGCACCACACCAAGAAATTACTCCAAACCTAAACTGATCCAATTAATAAGACTGCAATTAAAACCAAGAAAAAAATATAAACTTATTTTCTAGTTCTCAGAAAATATATGAGAAGGAAAATTGACTCCAGAGACACAAATGGCCTAATGGAATAATTAAAATTATAATTAAATAATACCAAGTCATCCCAGGCCTACTTAGCTCTGTAACTCCCTCCAGGATTATTGTGTCTTTAGGGAGGGAGGATGAAGAAATCACTTTTCAGGATTTCTCAGTGTAAGAGAGTTCTCCAGACTTTCAGAGCCTGAGAAGAGACCAAGAAATAAATAAATATCAGGACAGATGAAGCTGACATTATACCCCTGCCCAGTCATTTCTACTTTACCATTGATAGTTGTGTGGCCAAGGAAATTGACCTTGCACCTTTTATCTTTAATTTCCTCATCTCTAAAATTTCTGGGACAATAGCAACATGAATCACAGAGTTGCTATGAAGATTAAGTATAACCATGTATAGTAAGTGCTATGGGCACTTATTCGGTATTGGATATCACTATTAATATGAGGAAGAGGAAGACATCAAACGGTGTAAAGAGTATTCCAGAACAGCTAAAGACGGTGACAATAGTGAATGCACTGAGCCAGGTGTTAATGGTAGGAGAGTTTCTGGAGAGAGTTGGAATTGCAAATCGGAAAAGCCTCCCTGTAAACTGAATGTGGGACTCTGGGAATGGAGGGAGGAGGTGAAGCCTCAAGCAGCTTTCTCTGTCTCCCATTAAGTGCAGACCCCAGAAAGTCTATCACTGATAAGGAGTGGGGCAATGAAAATGGGGAGAAGCCTAGTGAGGAAAAGGGTTCCCTTTCCATAGGCCACATAATCTGTTCTCCCAGCTTAGCAAGTGACCCAAGGTTGGCCAGGTGTGGTGGCTCATGCCTGTAATCCCAGTACTTTGGGAGGCTGAGTTTGGCAGGTTACCTGAGGTCAGGAGTTCAAGACCAGCCTGGCCAACATGGTGAAATCCCATCTCTACTTAAAATACAAAAATTAACCAGATGTGGTGGCGTGTACCTGTAATCCCAGCTACTTGGGAGACTGAGGCAGGAGAATTGCTTGAACCTAGGAGGTGAAGGTTTCAGTGAGCTGAGACCGTACCACTCCAGCCTAGGCAACAAGAGTGAGACTATGTCTCACACACACAAAAAGAGTGACCCAAGGTCTCTACTTTTCTATTTCTTTAAATTATTGTTTAAAAATCATTAGTGAAAAACTACCGAGGCCGGCACGGTGGCTCACGCCTGTAATCCCAGCACTCTGGGAGGCCGAGGTGGGTGGATCACGAGGTCAGGAGATCGAGACTATTCTGGTTAACATGGTGAAACCCCTTCTGTATTAAAAAAAAAAAAAAAAAAATTGGCCAGGCAAGGTGGCGGGCACCTGTAGTCCCAGCTAATCGGGAGGCTGAGACAGGAGAATGGCATGAACTCGGGAGGCGGACGTTGCAGTGTGCCGAGATCGCACCACTGCACTCTAGCCTGGGCGACAGAGTGAGACTCCCATTCAAAGAAAAAAAAAAAAAGAAAGAAAAAAAAACTACCTGTTGGGTACAATATATACTACTTGGGTAAAAGGTGCAATAAAATCCTATACTTTACCACTGTATAATTCATTCATGTAACCAAAACCTCTTGTACCACTAAAGCTATTGAAATATAAATTTTTTAAAATAAAAAATAAAACAAATAAAAATCATTAGCTACCACACTGATTAGGACAGCTAACCACAATGATAGAAAATAACAAGTGCTGGCAAGGATGTGGAGAAACAGGACCCCTCCTACCCTGCTGGTGGGAATGTAAAATTGGCAGCCTCTTTGTAGCACAGGTTGGCAATTCTTCAAAAGGTTAAACATGGAGTTACCATATAACTCAACAAATCTACTCCTAGGCATCAACCCAAGGTCATTGAAAACAGATTTCCACACAAAACCTTGTATAAGCATGTCCACAGAAGCATTACACATAACAGCCCCAAAGTAAAAACAACTCAAATGCCTATCATTGATGAGTAGATAAACAAAACCTAGTATATCCATACAATAGAATAGTATTTAGCCATAAAAGGGAATGAAGTACTCACCTTAAAAACCTTATGCTAAATGAAAAAAGCTAGTTATAAAAGGCCACATATTGTATGATTCAGTTACATGAAATGTCCAGAAAAGGCAAATCCATAGAGCTAGAAAGTAGATTAATGGTTGCCAGGGGCTGGGGAAGGAAGGGTTGGGGATTGTGTGCTAATGTGTATGTGATTTCTTTTTGAAGCGATTAAAATGTTCTGAAATTAGATAGTGATTATGGTTGTACAACTGTGAATATATTGAAAATCATGGTGTGTGCCTTAAAAAGGCAAATTGCGAATTAGATGTCAAAAAAGTATAAGGAAAAAAATCAGTATCCCATTTAACAAATTATATTAAACTAAATTGAAGGCAAATAAAAGCCAAGGTTTTACAAATGCTTTAGTGGGCCTGCACAAGTCATTCATTCCTGTTTCCTAATTTTCCTCAATGGGAGGAAGAACAGAACCACCCTTGCCACCTACATTTGTGATAAGACCTGAGTACATTTTTTAAATGTCTGCATTTTTCAGCCAAAGGTTATATACAAATACTAGGTGTTATTATGAAACTGGCAACACTGAACACCGGGTAACTTTAAATAGAGTCACCATGTGGCAGTTGAGTCTTAAACATATGCACTGGTGTTCATTTCTCACAGCAACTGAGCGGCCCATTGGATGTACCGTGGCTCTGAGTGGGTCATCCGTGGGGGCAAAGCTTGGGATACACACACACACAGTTTTCAGAT